AGAAACAAAAAAAAGTTACCTTGTGAAGAGAGTTGCACAGCCTGACCCACGATCGGACAGTCTTTGTCATCTTTTTAGCGCCATATGAGCTTGAGGACGGCGTCACGTCAACATCGTCTTCAACGCTAATTTTTCTGGGACGCCCACGTCCCCTCTTGGCGTGTTCTTGCGTGTCGATATTGCTGATTTCATTGTAATCAGGCAGTTCTAGCTGTATTTGACCTGGCTCATCTATCTAGAACAGAAGTAACTAGAAAACGTGTTTTGTAGACATTTACAAAGCAAAATAACACACCGTTATCTCGTCCTGCAGATTGTCAATAAGAGGCCTACCATTGTTGTTTAATCTCCTCCACTTCCAATATTCGTATACATCCGATACAAACAAAAGATCGAGTGAAAGCCTGAAATGGTAAAAACGGATGATATCCAGAAGAGACTTATTCATACCAAAGCGCCTACCTCGTTGCGATTTCCTTGTAGTCAACAAACTGGTAGCATATTTGCTCCAGATCTGCTAATGGTCCAGAGCTACATTGTCCTTCCGTTTCCTCATCTGATCCAATTACCTGAAAATCTCTATACAACTCATGTAGATTCACAAAAATTATAAAGGATTTACCTGGCTTAAATCACGGTTGGCTTCATCAGTTTCGAAATGTTTGACTGAACGATGCTTCGGACAAAGTGAGATCATGTGCACCTTATCATCGTCAGTGTCCTCAAAATCATTTTTGCCGACTTCTCATACAAGCCCTCACAGTAACAAACCAACCTGCTCGATGCGCATTTCTAACCCACTTCGCAAAGCGCACGTGACGTGAAAGAAAGTTTTACATGTGCTCACTGAACACTTTATACAAGCTCCTTGCCGTGTGTCGCAGATAGAGCATCTGAATGAAAAGGTATAGTTCTGTAAAAACAGGGTCAATGAATGAGAATATGTAAAAAATACTGACTTTGCTGTCCATCTTTCCTCTTGTATTTCATCTAGACACATTATTGGTTCGCGTTTTTCAATATCCCCAAATCTGAAGGAAAAATGTACTGGTGCTGAGGTAAAATATTTTGTTCAAATCTTAGATCTGCAAGATCAGCAAACTTGTAAGATAGTAATGATGGCAAGAGCTCAAATTGATTCACAGTTGAATGAACCGTCTCAAGAAAAAGAACAAATTACGCTTAAT